GATGGGGAAAAACCGCCATAAAGTCTCGAGACATGTTTTTTTAAAAGTTGAACTTAAGTTAATTTTACATGGCTTTCTAAACATGCGGCTCTTTTGTGCGAGATGCGAGTGCGACGGTGATAGACGTCCTTCTAGAAAATGCGCGAAATATGCATTCTGTGTGAACGGCTTGGTTTCAGTTTTGATGTAAACAAGATCTTCTCCGCATTGATGTTCTCTTTTTCCACAATATTTTTAATGAACAACGCAGCAGCGCCGCATCTAGTGGCTTCAACTGGATAGGCTAACAAAAACATTATAATGCAGCGACACTTACATCGTCATCGCATCTCGTGCACCACTGATAAGGCTGCCTCCTTAATGCACACCTAAAATTCGAATGCAATGTTTTTGAATTCGAATGTGGATTTTTATTTTAAATTCAACGAATATTTGAAATTCTCTTTTTTTTTTGACAGCCCTATCAGGAATAGGATATTATCCCCTGTGTCAGTGTGTGGTTGTATTCTAATGAAGTACATCCGTGATGTACCTGTGCAGGTGTATATGTGTCGGACTTCCACATCATCTGCGCTCGAACTCCATCCAGAAACAAGACCTCGACAGTCCCGTCGGAGAGAGCTTTAAAATATCCCGTACCTGCCACCATTACCTCCTGAACCACACATACACAATCACACACCGCAGCCTGCTGAAGACAGAACCGTTATCATCATACACATCCATATACACTGGACACGATGGACAGAGCGAGTATCCATCAGAGAGAAATCACACGCACCTCGTTCCAGCAGTAAAGAGAGAGCGGGGCCCTCAGCGAGCTTCTGGCCTGGATGAAGCATTTCAAAATCCTAATGAAACAGAAACAAAAATATATTAATATATGTGACTCTGGACCACAAAACCAGTCTTAGGTCGCTGGGGTATATTTGTAGCAATAGCCAAAAATACATTGTATGGGTCAAAATTATCGATTTTTCTTTTATGCCAAAAATCATTAGGATATTAAGTAAAGATCATGTTCCATGAAGATATTTTGTAAATTTCCTACTGTAAATATATTAAAACTTCATTTTTTATTAGTAATATGCATTGCTAAGGACTTCATTTGGACAACTTTAAAGGCGATTTTCTCAATATTTTGATTTTTTTGCACCCTCAGATTCCAGATTTTCAAATAGTTGTATCTCAGCCAAATATTGTCCGGTCCTAACAAACCATACATCAATGGAAACTAGAATTCCTCGATGAATAGAAAGTTCAAAAGAACAAAGCATTTTTTAAAAATAGAAATCATTTGAAACATTATACATGTATTTCATGTCATTTTGATCAATTTAATGCATCCTTACATTTTTTAGTAACTAAAAATGAGCTCAATTCAAATGACTAACCATCAGTATGAGCAATAGTAACAGTGCAGCTCGACTTAAAGGGGTCCTATTATGCTTTTTCACTTTTTCAACTTTAGTTAGTCTGTAATGTTGCTGTTTGAGCATAAAAAAAGATCTGCAAACAATATTTTCAACAATTTGGGTGTCATTATCACCCCCTAGTGACTGAACTCTATAAATTCATTTAGTGAATCATTGGCTCAAGGTTGATGTTCACTTGATGGTGGATGATACTCCTGCCCCTTTATAAACAGATGGGATACTCAATGTTTTAGGAATAGCTTGACATCAGCTATCCTGTGAATCCTGTCTACAGTTGTTTGATTTTGGTTTTTGACGTGAGCTGTATGCTTGTAAACCCCTCATCTCACCTGCTGGCCCGTGTGACAACAGACTGGACAGAATACAGCTGACCTGGCACATCAGGTGGGAGACCACACAGGTAATACACACACTCCACCGCCTGAGAACACACAGAAATCAACTCATCTTCTGAATCATGCAGTAAATGTATACACTCAACCTTTTCAGTCCAAATCAGCATGTCATACATCTCTGTGAGCAGCTCCAGCTTTGTGATGTGTGAAGTAATTGGCTAGAACTCCATTAGATCTGATGACTGAACCATCACCAGGTGAGATCTCTACCATCGGTATCACTCCATCTACTATACTGAAGGAGATAAAAACAAAAAAAACATGAAATCATCATCAGTGTTAGGTCCCAAACAGACTGTATTTGTTTGACACACATAGCCCGCGTCCGGTGGGCTAGACTAACAAAACATTAAATGCAACGTCACTTACATCATCATCACCGCATCTCGCGCACCACTGATGACGCTCCCTGACGCACTCCTAACATTCGATTGTACCATTTTTGCATTCAAATGCAAATGTTTATTTTAAATTCGACTAATATTAATTTTATATTAATATTGCCAATATATAAACACAGGCAGGCACAGCACTCAATTCAGCATGTGTTCGTGTTCGTGTTCGTGTGTGCTGTCTGCGTCACTCATAACACGTGCCTATATCGTGCACTATATCGAACATTTTTTATATGGTTATCGATGAAGGAGTACCGTCGATAAATATCGATACCATTTTATCATCCAGGCCTATTTTTGGGCTACCAAAATCTGAAGAATGCCTGCCCGAAGGGCTACCAGGGATTTAGAAATTTTGCGAGCCCTGTATAATATAATATAATATTTTTTACAATATATTTTTCTTATTCAGTTACATTCCTATATGTCAGGGTATTTTGTGCTCATAATTCCAGTCAGATATTATTGGATTCTCAGAGGCCTTATTTGATCCTTAAAAATGGGTTCCAAATTACTTATTTAATCCTTTTTTTTTTTTTGACTAGAACATTTTCTTAAAGTGCTAAAACATATTTTTACCCACTTATCTTTGACTTAAAACAGTTATTAGCCTATTAATGATATTTAAGATGATGCAATGGGTAGTGGTGCTAATTTATGAACATGAAATGAATCAGCACTCACCGGTATATGATGCCTTTACACCAGACCACTTTCACCACCTCAGCTGTGACTTCCTCTTCCTGTTCCAGCAAATCAGGATTCACAGCGTCATATCGCCATCTGAACATTACATTAATGTACTTTGAGTATGGTCATACTGGCACCATCAAACACACAGTACTGATTATAACTGTAGTTTTTCTATGAGGATAAATGAGAGGAATGAATCTCCCTAAAGCCAGGTCACATTTCACTC